ACAGACTGACTGACTGACTGACTGACTGACTGTCAGTGACTGACTGACAGACTGACTGACTGACTGACTGACTGACTGGCAGAGATGAGAGGACTGGAAAGAGAATGGAGAGTTAAATCACTGTAGTTTAGTTTAAATTGATGTCAGAAGAGCTCTTATTGCATTACATTTACAGCATGCATTTTGTAATTGAAGTTTATTTCGAATATGAAAATAAAAAAATACATATTGAAAGAACATAGTACAAAACATTTAAACAAAGAATGCATATTTGAAAAGGAGTGAGAAGAACTATAACTTGTGAACTCCCACTCCTTCTATTAACTAATAAATAACAATCTTTCTTGCAAACCCTTGTAGGTACTCATATCACACACATACGTATATATACATAACCATATATACACACCTTTTCTATTGTGCACATTTTACTGCTAATATATATATATATTTTGCATTGATGTTTTTTTGCCAAGTTTTTACATTTAAGAAAACCTTAAATTCTTTGATTGCCTTAATGAATCTATCATGTATTTACAGCCAAACCTGTGCCACAGTCCCAGGTTGATCACCCTTGTTGACGTCAGATGTACTGAAGATTTAACTAAGTCAGGGCTCCGTCCCCCCTCACTGCTCCCTGGTTCTTAAAGCTGCCACTGTTCACTTTGGTGATGGGTTAAAAACAGAGGTCACATTTGGTTGTGTGCAGTGGTGAGCTGTGTCACAATGACAAGGAGTTCACTTTCCTTCCTTTACTTTTGAATGATGGTTAGTGAATGGAGTGATGTTTTGTAGTTGTTACCCCAAACCTCTGCACAATATTGAAACTAGGGAAGAGTAAAGTGTGTGAAGTGAGTTCTGATCCAAAACCTTTTTTGCTTTGTTTATTATTGCAAAGCTTCTTGCGACCTTGGTTTGTACGTTTTCAATATGTGCTTTCCAATTGATTGTGTCGTCTACAGTTACCCCTAGAAATGTAATCTGGTGAACTCTTTCTAGTTCAACTCCATCTTTCTCCAACTGTACTTGTGTAGATGGTGTTCTGCTGTTACCAAACAGCATTGTTTTTGTCTTGCTCTGATTTAATGGTGACCTGTTTCTGTCAAACCGTGTTTTGAGCGTGTTCATGTGTACAGTGATGTTCATTTGTACAGTGATGTTCATGTGTACAGTGATGTTCATTTGTACAGTGATGTTCAT